GGGTCATCTATGGGGTTCTCTGGTGTTTGTCCCCATGAAGACCATGAGCAAGCAGGTCTTGACATAGGTTCTGTCACAATAATCACCAGCTTCTTTAGCATGGCAGCCATCATTCAGAGTTCTGTGAGACATGGTCAGCATGATAGAGAGGTTTCACAAAGTACATTAAACTTATCAGAAAACAGGCAATCAAGCAGGAAGTCCAAATCCAGTTGCTGCTCTACCAGTCATGAGTTTAGACTCCTGTGGATTGGTACAGTGAAGAGTGCAAGCAAACTTTTAAAATATTAAAGATATTTATTTTAAAATTGTTTTTAGGTAATTTTATTATTTCTTTTTCTTCTCATACGGTACCTCATATTTGCTGCTTAGTCTAATTTCTTCCTATCATATTAGGTTGGTGCAAAAGTAATTGTTTTTGCACCAACCTAATAGATTGACATATATATTAAGAGGGTTTGGCTCTGTTTCCTCACCCAAATCTCACCTTGAATTGTAATCCTCATAATCCCCAGGTGTCAAGGGCAGGACCAGGTGGAGGTAATTGGATTATGGTGGCGATTTCCCCCATCCTGTTCTCATGATAGTCTTACCAGATCTGATGATCTTATAAGCATCTGACACTTCCCCTATTTGCATTCATTCTCTCTCCTGCTGCTCTGTGAAGAGGCACCTTCCACCATGATTGTAAGTTTCCTGAGGCCTCCAAGACATGCAGAACTGTGAGTCAATTAAACTTCTTTCCTTTATAAATTACCCTGTCTTGGGTACTGTGAGAATGAACTAATACACATATATAATTTTTATCTCTGAATTTATCTTTAGAAAGAAAGATATTCTAAGGTTCTGCATTTCTAAGTGGTGGTATCATGGTTGTTGATGGTACACAGCAATGATACCAAGAAAATCTGAGCAGGTACAAAAAGTATATCCTTTTATACCTTCCAAGACCTGGAATTATCAGCCTAAAATTATTATAATTTTCATGTTACCTCCCAAGATCATAAGCATATTTTTTTTTGTCTTGTGCATAGAGTACAATTCCAACTGCCCACCATGTATGGAACTTTTGGCTTCAAGTATCATACCTACGAGGCATAAAGCCCCAGTTCTTGGGGTATATATCAGACATGCTATTCCTAAAAGTAGCCCTGCTTCACCTTCTACTTACAGTGAGGATTTTCTCTGTTTTCAACATTTAGGAATTTCACTTTTATCCCTTTTAACTTATTACAATTATATTTTTATTTTTATTTTTTAATTTCTAAGTGTTTGGAGCAAGAGTTGCAGAGTTATTGCATCAGCTTAGTCTACCATTTAGACCAGAATCTTGAATTCACTATACCTTGGTCCCAATTCCAAATACCAGGACGGTGAGAGTGATTGACTCAGATTATATCTGATCACTCTTGGATGAATCAATTACAAGTTGTGCAACATTATGTAATAGAAACGTGTCTGCTAGGGGCCACCTATGTGTGTGAAAAGGCATCCTACATTATAAGGTTGCTAAGCAACCTATAACATTTATAGGATAAAATATTTACCATAAATATTTACCATAGAAATCCCAAGAAATATGTTTACTCATTTTTATTCTCTGCTTAGATTTCTTCATCTTAAAAATCAAGATGGCAAATTTTCTGCTTATTATATGTTTTAAAGTTGACTTGTTTAAAACCATCATGTTCAAAGAGATATATATCTGGCCTTATATAAATTTTAGATATCCTTCACAAAAATGAAGGAAGTAATCATCATTTGACGTATGATTTGGGTTTTCTGTAGACATCCAAGTAATAAAAATGAGCAATAGGCTCTTATTCCTACCAGATGATAAATGAAAATATGAAAATAACAATATATAAAATATTTCCCTTAATAAGTTTCACTGTGGGTTGTGGTTTTAGTTGTTGTTGTCTGTTTTTGTGGTTTTTAAAAGCTTCAAAGCAGCCTGAGTGATTGGTTAATCAAAGAGGTAGAGCCTTCATATTATGAAATGTTATCATCATCGAATTGATTATTGGCAGGATAGGGTTTCAATTTAGCATTGCAGGGTTCACACAATTGGATACTTCCATGTCTATAAAAAGAAAACTCTTGCCTGGGGCTGAAAATGAGTGTTTGCCTAAGCTTAGGTAACAGGGAAATAAACCTTGCATATATGTAGAGAGAAACAAAATGCCTTAAGAAACATGGTAGATCTGCATCCTATTCCAAAGGAAATTCAAGAATTTATTCACATTGGCAAGCTTTTTGTAAAAAGTCTATTACTTAAATATATTTCAGATCTTCCTCTTCAGCTCTTATTCCTGATAACCGAGTATTACGTCTCTTATCTCTAACATAGCCCATGCATTCCTTTAAAATTACCAAGTGGATTCTGTCTGTTTACCTTCCTTTCTAGTGCACCTCGAGGAATATACTGTTAGAAACTTAAGTCAGCAATATATGTCAAGTAAAGAGTGTGTGCTCATTATAAGCCTGCCAATAACACATATTTGTACAGTATTTTTTTCCAAAATATGTTTGCTACATTGCTCATTCGATCTTCAAGACAACACTGTAAGAGTTAAATTTTATAACTAAGTCCAGAAAAGCTTAGAGGTCTTTCTGGTATTTAATCCACTAATATAATTCTCCAAAAACATATTTGTTGAATGAATGAAGTAGTAAGAATACTGAGTTGGAGTTTTAAGGCCTTATTTTTTTTAAATCCTAGCCTTTCAGTTTGGTAGTTTGGACAATATTGGGAAAGTCAGTTAATATTTCTGAATCTGTTTCCTCATCTATACATACAAAACAATAATACTTGATTTACATGTTTCTTGTTTGGATTTGGTGAATTAGGGAATGTGAATACCATTTTTACAGGATCTGGCCTACACTACATGCTTAATATATATCTGTGGAATAACTGAAGTTACATCAAAGTGTTGCTTGACAATTTTCTACTTCAGATTTAGCTTCAGGTTAATTCGAAGATTTTCAATTTTCTTCTATGTATTTCATCATTAACAATATTTATATCTTAGCTCTGTTCTCCTTTGTGGGGAGCAAGGGCATTGCTTCACCAATATGGCTCTGAGAAGGATTAAATATTTGGAAGAATAAATTACACATGCAACTTTTAATCTCGTCTGTGGACACAGCCTCATAATTGTTACAAAGACTATTTTAAGTTATGTAATATAAGTAGATGCATTTCATAATCCAACTCCTCTCTGCTACTATTAGCTGCCTGGAACACTGCATTGAGAATAGTTCCAAGGCCAATCTGGTTTAATAGAAAAGAACCCCATGCGTTTTTAGCAATAATTACCCTTAATACAAGAGAACAAGAAGAACCCTTTTGCCTCACCTGTAATACTCCCTCAGTTATAGAAAGAATTTTTTTTTTTCTTTGAGACAGTATCTCACTCTGGCACCCAGACTAGAGTGCAGTGGCGTGATTACCGCTTCCTGCAGCCTCGACCTCCCAGGCTCAAGTTATCCTCCTACCTCAGTGTCTTGAGTAACTAGGACCACAGGTGTATACTACCATGCCCAGCTAGTTGTTGTTGTTGTTATTATTATTATTATTATTATTAGTTGTAGAGACAGGGGCTCACTATGTTGCCCACACTGGGTTTGAGCTTCTGTTCAAATAACTTTTAAGAGCTTAAATAAATCACATTAATGGATATATTATCTTAGAGAGGTAACCCAGTAAAGAAATGTTGAGACATGATGATAGTGATGTAAGCAATTGTTAGGTGTTAGAAGTCTTTACAGACCATGCTATGGAGCTTAGATACAACTCTCAGATGTTGGATGTCATCAGTATGGAAAAATATGAGTGACATGGATGGTTTACTTTCAGTTATCAGTGATTCTTAAGCCTGATTGACACATTAGCTTTAACTGAAGAGCTTTTACAAATTACTGACAAATGGGAAGAACACAGAGGATTTTTAAAGGCAGTGAAACTACTGTTTATGAAACTATAATAGTGGACACACATTACTATAAATTTGTATAAACCCATCAAATGTATAATACCCAGAGTAAACCTTAATGTAAACTATTGACTTTGGGTGATAATGATGAGTCAATATAGGTTCATTAACTACAACAAATGTACCACTCAGGTGAGGGATGTTAATCATGCATGTGTGGGGACAGGGAGTATATGGGAAATCTCTGTATCTTCTGCTTGATATGGGGTATATGGGAAATATATTTTCTGCTCAATTTGGATATAGACCCAAATCTCCTCTAAAAATAACTTCCCTAAAAAATAAATTCTCTTAAAAAAATACTGATATCCCTTGCCCTACCTGAGACCAAGTAATCATAAGGTCTGGGTGGAGCCCAAGCAAAAGTGCTTTATTAAAGTGATTCCAATGGATAGCCAGTGTTGAAAACTATTGAGTGTTGAAAACTACTGAGCTTGATCAATCTTTGCTTTAATTATATCCACTTGCTTCATCCTGGGATGAAGTATTTGACTGGAAGCCTTCTCAATAATATAAATATTATATTAACACATACATTGCAAGTTATATGTATTATATGCTATATTCTTACAATAAATTAAATTAAGTTTTTTTTTCAAACTCCCAAATACATGCAGTTTCCTTTTGAGAAGCTATAATTTTCTACCTCTCAAAAAATCTCATCGTAAAAATAATGCCCTGATTTGGCTAGTTGCTAGTCTTTGGGAAAGAAACTTGGGATTGCCTTAAAAAGAAAGATATTGCAAAAATGCCAATGGCTACCGCAGGGGCCTTTGAAAACAGTATGCTGAGAATAGATAGGGCTCAAGGACAGTATCTCCAATTGAACTTTTAATGAACTCCCGTAGGCGCCAAGAAGGCGGGCAGATAAGGAAGAGCATAGAAACAAGGAACTGAGTAGAAGGTTACATGTGGGAAAAGAAAGTTTGTTTTGCATTGCATTCTTTCTGCTGACGTGGGGTTTATGGAGTATAAATAAAGTGAGGCGGAGGCTCTGAGTGCGGCCGCCATGTTCTCTGTGTGTCTTTGTCTTTTGTGTGTTCTTTCATTCTCCACCACCCCCGGCATGGACCCCAAGAAGTGGCGCAGTGAGCAGGGTCAGCACGGGTGAGTAGGGGAGAACAAGAAGGGGAACCCCCTAGGGGCGGGTAAGGCCCAGATATTGTTAAGGGGAACCTTCTTAAGCTTTCATTATGGGGAATTCCATCTCTCTGGCCTCAGAATATTTACGGCTGTTTCAAGGACTGTTGCTGTCTATAGGAGTAGAAGTGAAAGAAAAAGACTTTGAAGTGATTGTTTGCCCATGTTGAACAACATTGTTACTGGTTTCAGTATCAGACTAAAGTGCAGCTGAATCGCAGAGAATGGTTACAGGTAGTAAAAACTCTGCTTAGAGCTCTCCAGTTAGGGGATATTATGCCTCTAAAATTGTGGACCTTGTGTGACTCTATCGCTCAGACATTAGAGTTACTTGAGACTGATTCAGAGTGTGGTAATGTAGCCACAGGACGAAAGGTATCTGAGGATTTGAAAAAAATAAATAAATAAATAAATAAATCTGAAATGGAGCCCATTTGTGCCAGGATAACAGAGGATGGGGGGGGGGGGGTAGCAAAAGGAGGAGAAGAGAAAAAGCCAGCTCTTCCTTCTTCTAAGGGAAATTCTGACATGCAGTGTATTATGGAAATGCTTTAACAAATATTACAGATATATTCTTCTAATTCACCTTTGCGAGCTTTCCCTGTTTCTTTTCCTTCTGCCCTGTTAAAAGAGGATTTTCCAGAGCCTCCAACACCCCGGCTTCCTTATCTTTACCTTTGTTTAGCAAAGTTGAAGCCCTGTTCACATCAGACATACTTTAAATTTATACTAAACACCTGTTTAATATGTCAAAACCAGTGTATATGTATATCTTGTTGTTTGTTAAAATATTATGAGTATTTCAATAGTCAATAAATAAGCACATTAACTATTAATATTAATATAGTATTAATAACCCCAGCTAGGAAATTGTTATGTTATAGGGGTGCATAGGTTCCACCAATTTACACTCCAAACAGAAGTTGAGTATTTGAGCTGCTTAACACATTAACTACCTCTTGATATTTTCTGTGTTTTTAAATTTTAACCATTGTATTGTGTATGTAATGATTCTTAATTTGGTATTAATATACATATTTCTTAGTGAGTAATGATGTTAGACATATAGGTTTATTGTCATTTCTTTGTTCTGCTATTTTGGGTTGGGTTATTTGCCTTTTTTTATTAATATGTTGAGATTCTTTATATTTGGGGATATGAGTATTATTATATATTATATATACTTTTAATTAAAAAAAAAATTTAAGGAGCTGGATCTGTTTCCAATTATTTGTGCTTCTTTTGCTCCTAATGCTCAGTTTTCAAATGGTGGCAATAATGTCTAATTTAATGCCTTACAAATTAAATTTTTAAAAAGAAATGAAAGCTGCCATTTCTAACTATGGACCTCAATCTCCTTTTATCCTCGGTCTTCTTGATATTTTTCATCAGAAAATTTGATAATTCCTATAGACTGGAAGACTTTGGGGAAGGCTTTTCTTGATCGTTCTCAGTGGTTACAATTGCACAGCTGGTAAATGAACAAGGCACATGTACAGGCTAGGAAAAATATTATGTGTTATCCCCCTGGACCCACTGAGGAACAACTCACAGGCACGGGCCAATATGCTACTCTTAATGCTCAGGCTGGTCTAGATGATGTTGCCCTTACTCAAATCAAGACTTTGTTTTTAAGGGCCTGAAATAAGGTAGAGATAACAGGAAAATGTTCCCTTTCCTCTGTGAAGATTTTACAGGGCACAAATGAAATATATCCAGATTTCGTAGCCCGTCTTCAGGATGCTGTCTTCAAAATTGTGGGTGCTGGCCTTGCTTCAAAAATTTTGTTACAAACATTGTCTTTTAAAAATGCTTATGCTGACTGTTAAAAATTGTTAAAATCGTTAAAGGCCAATGGGGCCAATTCAGATAAATATATTAAAACTTGTATTAGTGTTGAAGGGGCTATTTATAATGCTCAATTATTTGCTGGAGCTTTGTCTAAAGCCTTAAAAGGAAATAACAAACAAGGTGTTTGCTTTCAGTGTGGTAAACCTAGACATTTCAAAAAAGAATGTCATAAAAATTGAACACTTTTATCCCTCAAGGCAGAAAGCTGCCTTCAGAGGTGTACAAATGTTGTGGTAAAGGTCAACATTGGACAAATAAATGTCGTTCCAAAACTGATAAAAGTGGAAATTTACTGTCTCCTCTCCTGGGAAACGGGAGCCGGGGCCCACAGGCTTGGGTCCCCAACAATTACAATACAAGTCTACTACAATATTCAGTGAGCAATGGCCTACAACATTAAGGAATAAATTCAAGTCCTCCTTAAGGATCCCACACCTTACCCCAGTTTCTCAGCTTTATGCAGCAACTAAGCAGAGCGCCGCTGCTGACTTAGCTATTACTCAGCCTTATATTTTGTCTCCTAATAGAGGGGTATATAAATTAGCTATTAGAGTGTGTGGCCCTTTGCTAAAAGGACATGATATTACTAATAGAATTCTTATTTTGGTACAAGTTTCACAATTTATACGCCTAGAGGCAGGGGAATGTATTCTCAATAGAGAGGGTTTCGTAGCACAGAAAAAACTGTTTTTTGGGAAACTTTAGTTTCTAATCAAAAGCCCTTATGTTCATTGCATATTAATGAAATAGTTTTTAAAGGGTTAATTGATATGGGGGTGAATATGTCTATTATTTGTTTAAATTAGTGGCCTATACAATGGGAAACAAGATAAGTTTCAGTTATACTCACTGGCTTGGGTGGTGCTGCTGTGGTTTATCAAAACGTAGAACCTTTAACCTGTGTCGGTCCTAAAGGTCAACAAGGTCAAGTGTTTTTTTATATTATTCCTATCAGTATTAATCTTTGGGGACAAAATCTTTCATAACAATTTGGTGCTTTTTTAAACATTCTTCATATTTCCTCAGCTGTCAAAAATATGATGTTCAAAATGGGCTACAATCCTTTAAACTCATGGCCACTGTTCACCAGCCTCAAGTTTTATAATTAAAGTGTAAAACGACCACTCCTCTTTAGGTGAAACAGTGGCCATTATCTAAAGAAATACTTAGGATTTTAAAAGAGTAAGTCAAAAAACAAATGGCCGAGAGGAATCTAAAGCCACGTACTTCTGCATGGAATTCCCATCTTTGTCTTGTTCTTAAAACTATAAATGTTTACATTCAACCTAGGGAAAGTTTACAGCCCGGTCTTCCTAATCCTGCCCTTATCCCACAAAGTTAAAACCAGAGAAAAGCAGCAAGATGCTTTTGTATCATTACAAACTCAGCTTTCTTTCTACTCACTTAATATTGTCACAGAAAAAATTTAACTGGATTTTCTTATTCAATATTTAGGTTATACCTTGGGGGCACAAAATATTCGACCCCAAAAAATTCAAATTCGACGTGATCATTTAAAAACATTAAATGATTTTCAAAAGCTTCTAGGAGACATTAATTGGATGCATCCTGTTTTAGGAATACCAACATATCAGTTATAACATCTTTTTTCTATTCTAGAAAGAGACAGTCACTTGGACAACTCACGCCATTTAACTCCTTTGGCTTTACAGGAACTCCAGCTTGTTGAAGAGCAACTTCAAAAGGCCCTTCCTTTTGTTTATTTCATACTTTACCTTCTGCCACAGGAATGATTCATCAAACTAGTCGACCACTAAAATGGATCTTTTTGTCCAATAAAATATCTAAACGCTTGGCTATTTATATCCATCGTTTAGCTGAACTGATCATCAAAGGACAGCATCACTGTCGACAACTTTGGGGAGGAGATCCTTCCTTAATTATCTCTCAATTCACTCATAATCAGATCACTTATCTTCTTGCAACTTCTGATTCTTGGCAAGTTGCTTGCGCTTCTTTTGTTGGACAATTTTCTACCCAATATCCTAAGTCTCCGATCTTTTCATTTTTTAGGCAACATTCTGTGTTGCCTTTCTCACCAATTTCTGTATTTCCTGTTCAAGGTCCTACCTTTTTTACTGATGCTAGTAGCAATGATAAGGCTGGATATTGGAATGTTCATCAATCTCGAGTTACAGTTTATCCTTATCCCTCGGTGCAACAGGGAGAACTGTTTGCTATTCTCATGGTCTTACTTGATTTCCCTACTACTGGTTGTAACATTGTTAGTGATTCTCAATACACCGTTTATGCTACTTCTTACATTTCTCAGGCCACTTTACCTCTTTGTGCTACTTCTTCTCTTCAAAAACTCTTTTCCTTGTTATCTTCTACTTTGAGCCAACGTCGAGCTCCTTTATTCATCACTCATCTTCGTTCTCATTCTCAACTTCCTGGACCATTAGTTCATGGTAATACTCAGATTGATTCACTTTTAATAGGCCACCTACATGCTGCAGAACAAAAATATACTCTACATCACACTAATAGTTCTGGCCTTCAATGACGGTTTCATTTAACTTATAAACAAGCTTGTTCTCTTATTCGAGCTTGTCCTTCCTGTGCTCCTTTGAGCATTCCATCCTTCCATCCTGGGGTTAATCCACGAGGTGTCCCTTCTTTTGGACGATTAAAGTATGTTCATCATACCATTGATACTTTTTCTCATTTCTGTTATTACTCATCTCTTAACTTGTTTCGCCATCATGGGCATTCCTCTTATACTTAAAACTAATCATGCCCCTGCCTATGTCTCTCGTAAATTACAAGTTTTCTTACAGCAATACAATATTCAACATATCATCGGTATCCCGGGCAACAGTCAAGGTCAAGCCATCATTGAGTGCACAAATTTAACTTTAAAAACTTAACTATTAAAACAAAACAAAAAGGGGGAAATGAGCCCCCCAGAAACCAGATTTTGAAACCAGATTTTGAAGGTTCTTTTTACCTTAATTTTTTTGAATCAATGGAGACAATTGCAAGATTCCGCTGCCGTAACCCATCTTTCCTCACCTCCCTCGGTGATAGTCCCTGCTGACAGTTTAAAGGTTTGATATCCTAATGAAGAAGGTAAGTATGTTCAAGGGCAAGTT